TTATTAAGATTCACACGAGGGGTCCATTCAGGCACCTTTTCCGAGCTTAAGAAAATAGCCTTTTTTCTGTCGTTGTCTAACCAGTTGGAGCGAATGACGTTGAATGTGCTACCTTCCGCCTTGGGCCCAAACTACTGATGGCCCAAACTACGGATGGCCCAAACCGGGCTTCCGATTAAGCCCTAGCCCTTTTAATTGTACTCATATTCCGGTAAATAATTGCACAGCACAGTCTTGTTACCTGACAAACCTAGGTACCGATTGGCAGCCAGACATCTCATATATATCAATAAGGCGATCATTCACTGGTTGGATTGGACGCCACGCGCAGCTTACGTGTGTCGTCTGCTCGAAGCGCCATCACGTGATGTAACAGGGGACGTAATGGAGAAAAGGCGCTAGTCGCCACACTCCAGCAAACCGCAATGTTCTACGTTCGATACCTATGCCGTAACATCAAGTTTTGAGTGAGTGGGTGAGTGAGTATGGTTTTACGCCGCTTTTAGCAATATTCCAGCAATATCACGACGGGGGACACCAGAAATAGGCTTCACACATTGTACCCATGTCGGGAATCGAACCCGGGTGTTCGGCGTGACGAGCGAACGCTTTAACCACTAGGCTACCCGACCGCCCCTCAAGTTTTGAAACATCCCTGAGTGTCTCATTTTCTTTGCTCGTTGCTATATCATCATACATACAAACGTGGCCACTTCCAACGGGGAGACATAAAAAAACACATGCAGCATAGATGTAGCATCGGGATGAGATGATACTGCAGACAATGCATCAACTCTCTGGGGAGTATTCAACACAAACTGTCTGTCTGATTAGTATACAATCATAACAAACTTCAGAACAATAGATATCGGTGAATAAGGCAATATATGTGCGAATGTAACGCTGCCTTGTCGAACCAACCCAGAACCTTTCGGAGAATGTGAAGACCTCCCTCTATGTGCATATAAACACGCAATTAAATACTGAAAGTAAAAGTAACACCAACTCATTCCAACACAACCATGACCTCATTGGTTAGACTTGCACAAGTCTCTAAGATCTTATCAGTTGAAATCATCATTTCTAGATTATATAAATAATAAGAACAAGTTGTCCCCATGAGAGGGCTACTTACCTAGACTTGCCTATTTTAAAGATAACATTACTGTACACCCGTGGACCTTTTATTCAGTAAACCTTGGAGCAAGTCTAGGTGTACTGTGCGTTTATCTGGACTTGTTTTTTTATAAGGATAGCATTACCATACACCCACGGACTTAAACATTATGATTGACTTGCACCAAGGCTACTAATTTGTGTTCTCCCCATCCCCTACCCCCCAAAAAACAAAATAAAAAAATAAAAATAAAATAAAAATAAAAATAAAAAAATAAAAAAATAAAAAAGAAAGAAAGAAAAATAAAACGCACCCCCCCCCCCTCCCCACACGCACACACCCCACCAACCCCACCCACACACAGACACACTTACTCAAAATAAGGCGCCATCCCCACGCCCGCCCAGTTGGCGATGCATTCTACATGTATCTATAGTATGTGATACACTCGACGTACGCCACCCATCACAATCTGGATCTATTATACATTCCCATTGCTCGCTAACTTTGGCATCATTGCCTTATCGTGCCGTTCTACGAAGAAGCAAGCACAGCGCATAAACACTTTCGCCTTGACGTCATACACATATGGTATCGCTTAACCCGAGCGGCCAGCGATTTCCGATATATATCCGCTGTGGCGCTGTCAAGGTCTGTTAGTTTGATATGTGTACTTTTCCGCATTCAGCGATAACTGGGTCAGAATCAACCACTCACAGACCTGAGATCGAATGCTTACAACTGATTGGCTGTCTGCTCACGGCCCACGTTTCCCGGAGAGAGCTGTGGACGTGTTATTGTCACATGTGCAACTGTTAGGTGGTTACGTGGAGTAAAACCTGTGCTTAGTCACAAATGGAAAAATTATGTAATTTGTTATTCGAGCAAGTAAATATAATTAAAGATAAAACATGGTATGGCAAGAATGTAATTTTATGTAAAGGTGAAAACTTATCTTCTTAGGATATCTGACAGACTGACATTTTGAAATGAATGTGCGGTGCGGTGCATAGGGTTATGGGCCGGGAACGGACACATTTGAATAGCAGATAGTCCCGGGAAGGTCGAACTCATAATTCGAGGGATTCTGCTGTTGGCACCGCCAACGCGAGCGGATGTGTTTACTAAGAAGTAAAGACAACTTCTATGTCAAGACTAACTCACAAACTGTTTAATCAAGGTTAAAAAAATTAATATAGTCAAGGATAAACTAAATGATACCCAGTTGCAATCCTGCATAGCTGCAAGAAATAAATCTTCAAAGGGATCCACGTATCGAATTGTAAAAAAATGAATGTTTAAATTTTGAAAATTATTTAATTATTACAGATAGGAACGTTTGGATAAGTTCACCTAAGTTGAAAACCTCCAATGTCAATTTACCAGTTGAAACAGGCAGGTGGAGGAAAATACCATTAACCTAAAGCAAATACCCACTCTGCCAGTCGAGTGACATAAGAGATGAACGTCGCTGTTTGTTAACCTGTCCATTTGAAAGATAGAGGAAACAACTCAGTCATTATCATCATCATCATCATCATCATCATCATCATCATCATTATTATTATTAATATATTAAACCTAACATGGTTTAAATGAATGCACCTTTTAATAACTCAAGATTAAAAAAAAATGGGAAAACTATCTAGGTTGTGTACAATAGTCATGATAATAGTTTGAACCTAGAAAGACACGTACAGTATTTCATAAATGTTTGTACAAATGTTCATTTGTGTTCTGTACTTAAGATGTTTATGACTTTGCAATCTTGTTTTCAGTTCAGTCGAAATTACTTCATCTGGACTGAACATTGATATCAATAGGTACATTGTAACGTTTTAAACATTAAATAAATTTTTAACTTAGCATGCATTAATTAAACATTAACTACCCTAATGAAATTGATCAGCGGTGTTCATTTTTTATTTGCCTGGAAGGGATAGCGCGTGTCTCTGAACCGTGTCCGAGTCGCGGGAGTTTTCCTCCAAAATATCAAATGTGGCGCGTGTGCATGTGCGTTTGCGCTTGCGTGTGCGGGTGCGGTGCGGTGCGTGTTTGTGTTGCAGTGTGAGTGTGTTGCGGTGCGCGTGCAGTGTGAGTGCGAGTGCTGTGTTGGTTTGAGGTGCGGCGTTGAGTGAGTGTGGATAAGGGTGCTGGATGTGTGAGTGTGCGAGTGCGGTGCGAGTACGGATGCGGTGTGTTTATTGAATACGTACGGGCGCGGGTGCGTGCGAATGCGATGCAGTGCTCCTTCAAAATATACAAAACATATGTTTCTCTTTGACAGTAGGCGCTCAAATTGGATTTGTTTTGTCACATCCAGTGAGCAATCAGGGTGTCTGATTGTGTGTGACATATGCCAGTGATAAACCATACAGTTTCATGTCCAATATCCTTGCAAAGAAGCTTAATCTATTGTTATCCAGGGTATTATTAACAAGACTTTTGTGCATGTGTATTTTTCATTTGCATTTTTATTATGACGTTAAGTTCAAAAGAAACATGTTCTATCTACAGCGCTGTTGTTATACCCTCAATTAATCCAGATTAAAAGCAAACATATTCTGGCGAACGCACTATTCTAATCCGCTCGAGCATCAGGCAACCAGATGTAGTTTTTCAGCCTGATAAAATATGAAACCGAGAATATCACAATGACAAGCACGAGCTGACTCACAGCATGGTGTAATCACGCGGCTCGTGACTTTCATGATAATATCACATTTACATGAGGTTAATCTTCACGTGCCGAACGGTAACAGATTTGTATCTCAAGTGATACTCGTTTGACCGTTCATTATTCTAAAGGCAATGCAAAAACGTCAAATTGGGCCCTACGTTAACGTCTACGTTATCCGGTTCCAGTCGAGTGAAATTGATCCGATCTGTCGATTAAATTCCAAGATAACGATTTTAACCAATCCGCGCTATTCAGTAGGTTAAACTGATACTTCCGTGTGTGTTTTTAAATTCTAATGATATTCTGCAAGGCGTCGCCTATTGATTTTGTCACCCCCAAAGTTGCAACACGTTGAGCGTAGCATAGCGGAACGTGTTGATAAGCTTCTTCTACACAAACTTTCGTTTTCAACAAAGAAACAGAATATCAGCTATTATACTTTGGCCTGAGTTTCAAAATTGACGGTAAAGAAACATTTTCGCCAAGCATTCTAAATCACTATAAAATCAAAATTGGATTTGGGGGTTAAGTTCATCTACATTTTAGATTAAGGTTTAGATAAATTCATCCTTTGATGAACTAAATACGCACTCTCAAAAAGCAGTGTGGGACATTTGAAAAGTCGTAGTGGCTTTCGGCCACATGTGGGTGACTTACAAGGGGATATCAGAAAGTTTTGAGCCTCACACAGTATTCCTGGTCGAATGGTACAATGCGCTACACCTGATGTACATGAATGTCTTAGCTATTGATGCTATGTAGAAACATATTGCTGGCTGCAATTATTTTGTCACAACACTTCGTGGAAGAGACCTACCCCTAGTGAATAGCCAAAATGGACAAATCTGAGTACAGAGCGGTGATAAAGTTCCTTGTCCTAGAGGGTCAATCTGCCAAACAGGTGGAAGAGCGATTGACTGCAGTTTATGGAGAGTCTTCCCCATCGTCTGCAACTATCAAACGGTGGGTGAAGGATATCAGCGTGGCAGAGAGAGAGAGCTTAGAAGATGTGCCCGGTCCAGACGGCCATCAACCAGTACCAGCCCTGAAAACATTGACACTGTACACAAACTAGTGATGGAAAACCGCCGTATTACTCTCCATGAGCTAGAAGAAACAACAGGCCTATCATATGGATCAAAACAAAATATAATTCATGGCAAACTCCACATGTCCAAAGTGTGTGCCAGATGGGTCCCGAGAATGCTTACAGATGACATGAAGCTATCAAGGGTCACCATCAGTGGAGCCTTGCTAACTCGGTACAACGCCAACCCAGATGATATTCATTTTAGGATTGTAACCAGTGATGAAACCTGGGTTTATCATCATGATCCGGAGAGCAAACAGGAGTCGATGGAATGGAAACACGCCACTTCTCCAAAGACAAAGAAGTTCAAAGCCACCATATCCACCAAGAAGGGTATGATGACCATCTTCTGGGACAGCAAAGGAGTGATTCACATCGACTACCTGCCCCATGGCACCACAATGAATGGGGAGTATTACGTCAAGTTATTGAAGCAGGTGCGCCAATCCATCAAGGTGAAACGCCGTGGAAAAATCCGTCGTGGGATTCTGCTTCACCAGGACAACGCACCAGTCCAGACGAGCCGTGTTGCAATGACAGCTGTGCAAGAATGTGGCTACGAACTCCTCCCTCACCCACCCTATTCTCCAGACCTAGCCCCCAGTGACTTCCACCTCTTTCCCAGGCTGAAAAAACACCTCCGGGACTGGAGATTTGAAGATGACGATGAGCTAACTGCTGCTGTGGAGGGTTGGTTAGGGGACCAGAATGTTGACTTCTCCCGATCGGGCATCAGTGACTGGCAAACTAGGCGGAACAAGTGTGTGGAGTTGGGAGGGGACTATGTTGATAAAATAACGTAGTAACAATCCAATTCTTTTACTTTTTCTGTGTGAGGCTCAAAACTTTTTGATATCCCCTCGTATTAGGCTAGAGACATCAACATGGATGAATCTTTGAAATATCCAGTGAACGCCAGCAGCAGCAGCCATATACGCATATACACACACCCTAACACCCCACCCCTTTCCTACTAACTCTACCCATTCCCTACAGCAAAAAGTGAAATCCTTTGAAAGAAAACGATTACGTTTGTCAGCATCGTGCCCGTGTTCGTGGGTTTCACCAAAGTGGTAAATGTCTGAGACCTGCATCACTTCGGGCTTTATACCGACACGCCGTGATATAACTGGAATACTGTTCAAAGCGACGTTAAACTCGCCTAACTCACTCGTTCATTACTTTTAAGAAATACAGTGCGGGAGAGAATTGTGTGGAAGCGAAAGAGTAAGCGATATCGCTCCAAACAACATGTTTCGTTTTCTATTATTGTTTACACAGTTAATAACTACATGTGGTATAAGCCTCACTGTCATGATAAAATGAACAAATACAATTTTTGTCAACGATATCCCCCAGAATACATGTAACCCCCCCCCCCCCCCCCCCCCCCTCCCCCCTCCTGCCTCCTCCCCCCCTGTAGCTATCCCGTGGGTGAAGTGGTCGAAAAATAATAGAATGTTAGTTATGTAAACTGTAAGGGCATATGTACCACGCCGCGTTATCTTGGATTATATCAGGAATATATCCGATGATATCTTAAATTCCACATCCAAATTCGGTGAAATCCACGCATGTCATCGGATAATCATAACTGGGGAAAGATCCGCATTATTCACGAGTATGGTAGACATATTTCGATAAGAATGCCCATATATTCTATTTTGATCCGAATTATTTCTTTCTCTAGATATACACATTAAGTGTATGATATAAACAAAACAATAGGAAATCGGTCTGATGTGTTCCCACACACTATGTAGCAATATTACATCATGTAATAGATAGTATTACCGATACAATAAGCCCAATCCGATAAATTTGGCATCGCGATTCGATAAATATGCAAATAAAACCATCTGACAGGAAGTATTTTTAAGCTCCAAACATCGATGCAATGACTTCTTGCTCCAGAAACTATTGCCTGACGTTCCTAAAAAAGTATTTATCTTTTTATAATTTGTTAAAATAGGGGTTTGCCGATGTGTGGGTATTTCGGCATGTACAGATAATCGACGTGAGGATTGTGAGAATATCGACAAATACCAATACCAAACCCACCTGTTCATAAAATGGACTTTTCCGACATTGCCGAGGTCGAATTGTGGAAAAAGCGTTAATATTCTTAAAGTTTGTACATTTTATCACCATCCTTAAACAGGCTGTACATTATGTTGATATCTCATATACCTGTCCCCTTACAGTTGTATGCCATGCAGTGTCTTATTGCACAATAAACAACGACCACGAGTCGTTTATTTCTTGAATACAATTTGATTCCCTATAGACGATAGTTACGATAAAGAAACACACTCGGCAAATAATCTTATGTCTTGATCGTTTTCAGTGTACAATGATCCATGTAGCATGCACCCGTCAAGATCCGGGTTAGAACTGGTCTTCAACAACTCCTGCTTGTCGTTAGAGGCTACTAACGAGATCAGTTGGTAAGGCTTGCTGTCTTGGTTGAAGTATTTCAACAAATGCCTTAATCGATGCTCATGATGTCAATCACTGTTTATTCGTTTAGACTCGATTATTTACAGACTGACCTCGTGGAGCTGGAATATTGCTGATGGCGTTAAACAACAAACAAATACAATGTGTTAAATTCTTGACTTTTAACCTCCTCTCTTTCGTTGTCGCTCTAATTCCTTCTCTCTATTTCTTTCTCTCTCGCTTTCTTTCTTTCTCTCTCTCTCTGTCCTTCCCTCTCTACATCTCTTTCTCTCTCCAATCCTCCCCTCTCTCTTTTTTCTCTAACTCTCTCTCTCGCTTTCTTTCTCTCCCTCCCTCTATCGCTGTCTCCCCCTCTCTCTTTGTATATACAAGGTCATAATAGTGCAACTTTCTTTCTTTCTCTTTCTTTCTTTCTTTCTCTGTGTTTTTTCCTCTCTCTCCTCTCTCTGTCTCTCCCCCACCCTGCCCTCTTTCGCTGTCTTTCTTTCTCTCCCTCTCTCTCGCTCTGTTCTTTCTCTCTCTCCCTCTCCCCCTCTATCTCTCCCTGTGACAGTGCAACTTACTTTCTTTCTCTCTCTTTCTTTCTTTCTCTCTCTCTGTCTTTCCCCCTCTCTCCTCTCTCTCTTTCTCTCTCCCACCCTGCCCCCTCTCGCTGTCTTTCTTTCTCTCCTCTCTCTCGCTCTTTTCTTCCTCCCTCTCTCCATCCCCCACTCTCTCTCTCCCTCTCTTTCTCTGTATATAGAAGGTCATGTGACAGTTGCATGAGCACACGGGAATGTAAACGTTAGGAATTCAAATGGTATCTTCTAATCTATGCTATCTAACTTTCTCTGAGTGTTGATATTCATCTTTTGTCTATATTTTTTCAATCGAAATTGTTCCTTATCGTTCCTTGCCGTGCCGTTGAAATGTTGTGAAGGTACACTGAAACTATTAGTTGCTCTCGACACACTTGAGTTCGTCCGTATAGTTAACAAATGGGATACGTAGATCACACCAAGATACTCAACACCTGATGGTGACAGCTGCGAGAAAGCAGATTAACCGATAACATTGAAATCATCAATTTGAATATGCCCAATAAACGTCCAAATAAGCTCCGTCTCCATTTATACACCTGTTGTAGCGCATACACATTTGAAGTACTGACAGAAGAAATACTGAAAAGCTGTGTGCGAGATATTTATTTTGTAAATGCTCAACGACTCGTATTAATCACAGTGATTAGGCAAAATAAGGCCATTACACAGTGCGTTGAACATTGGTTTGGCGGATACTGGATATATCTCAATAAACGATACTGAGATGAGATTTGTCTCTGCGCGGGAAGTTGTAGGTTAATATTAAACGTAGATATTGGTCGTGTTTAAGAGAAATCGCAGGTAGGTGTATAGGCGTGTGCACAGTATCCTGTTTGTTTCATGGAAAAGGGTGGAAATGGACAAATTTTACAAATATTTTGTCACGTTACATGCGACATATTAAAGGATTTGAAATTGTGAAATAAAGGAATATTACAAACTAATAGACCACGTTCCAATTTATTAGACCTGCCAAGGGTTAAATTGATTCCGCGCATCGGAATACACCCCAGGACCAGTATCTCTTATTACGCTGACCCGTGAAGATCCGGGATAGAGTAGGTCGATGCTCATGATGTCAATCACTGGATTGTCTGGTCCAGACTCGATTATTTACAGACCGACGTCATATAGCTGGAATATTGCTGAGTGCGGCGTTAAACAACAAACAACAATCTTTTCACGCTGGCCAGATGGAGTGAGGCACACAAAAAATAAGGCGCTAATACGTTTACCTATAGCTACGGCGTTGTTTATCAAATCACACATACAACGTGTACATTCGTGGCATACAAACTGGGCAGATATTCTTCTTAATTCTAAGCGTCACTCATACACACTGTTATCACCACTACCTTCGCAAACTAAATAATGTAATTCTGTCGAGATAGCGTCACTAAAGTTCGCACATCACAACTTTATCGCCATTTTAATCTGAAAATAAGATCATATGTAGTAGTACGAATAGGTATTAAAAGGGACGACAGACAGTCAGACATCACTCTGTGACTGACGAAGAACCTCTCTGTGTTGTTACTCGGTATGAAACGTTAGGATCTTGTACCATGTTACATCTTAACTACAGTAAAGTACAGTTATAACGAACTCAAAGGGACTACTAATTTTAGTTCGTTATAACCGTAGTTCGTTATAAGCATATATACAGCATAACTACAGAAAAAAAATCGGGACCAAAACAGTAACTTCGTTATATCCGTAAGTTCGTTATAAGCGTGTTCGTTATAACCGTAGTTTACTGTATATGCGATTATCCTTGGCAATACCTGCACGTTTATGTGGTAATTAAACATGTCATACTTTGGTGAATAGTAGATGTTCTCGTTGTTATACTACTGTGAATAGATTATGTCAATTCTGTTTAACATGATGGCATTGTTTACCTTGGAATATGTATTTTGACTAATATACAGTGAAGTATGTATCTTGTGTAAATGCCCACACATTTGGGTAAGGTATTGGAGTGTTTTGGAAAAACTTTATTCAACCATGTGTAGACTATTGTACGTTGTATAATAACGATCCTTCTACGTTCCAATCATTGTCAATCCTTCTATATCATATTCGCCTGATGTTCTAAGTACATATGTATGTATATAATTGATTAAACATTATCTAATAATTGATTGTAAACATTTTTGTTGACTGCTGACATAAAATGACTCTTGGCTGACTAATATACTCATTTTTTTATTCACTCAGTTCTTTTGTTGAATGTTTTATGTTTGTTTGATTTTTGTTTAACGCCGCACACAGCAATATTCCAGCTATATGACGTCGGTCTGTAAATAATCGAGTCTGGACCAGTCAATCCTGTTATTGATATCATGAGCGACGATCTGCGCAATTGGGGTGCAGTGACATCCATCAACCAAGTCAACGAGCCTGACCACCCGATCCCGTTAGTCGTTCTTACTAGCATAGTCGCCTTTTAGGGCAAGCATGGGTTGCTGATGACTAACTCTAACCCGGATCTTCATGCCTCGTGCACTGTGTTAAATCAATGGGTTATTGTTACATGGTAATGAGAAGCGTGTATTGTGTTACATTTATGGCCAAATTTTACACGAGGCAGAGAAATATGATATTAAACATGTAGTATCAAGCATTTCCACTGAACGATTTATCATAATTTGGGTATGACATGAGGGGAAATTGTATTTTCACAGCGTTTTCGGGAATAGATTATTCAAAACTAATCCCCCAACGCCAAACACACACACACACAATCGAAATATGAAATT